CAACATTGTTATAGTTTACTAACAACGACAACATTGTTATGGTTTGCTAACTATAACAACATTGTTATAGTTTACTAACAACGACAACATTGTTATGGTTTACTAACTATGACAACATTGTTATAGTTTACTAACAACGACAACATTGTTATGGTTTACTATCCAAGACAACATTGTTATGGTTTACTAACTACGACAACATTGTTATGGTTTATTATCTAAGACAACATTGTTATGGTTTACTAACTATGACAACATTGTTATAGTTTACTAGCTACGACAATATTATTGTGGTTTACTAGTGTGAAAAATTGGGTGATGCAATAAATATTTTCATCACTGTAAACTAGTCATGGGATTCAAAGCGAGTAGTGTAGGTGAGCGTGTAATCCATATTACGTCACAGTCGATTTCTCGTGCCGAAAGGCAGCACCTGCTCCTCCTTATAAACTTTGTGTGTATGGATGAAAATATGTTTAGTTAGAGAAATTTACACTTTCGCCCTGATCTGATTGTTCGGATGAAAGGCTTTGATGACATATACTTAGTTGGTGAAACGACAACAGTATTTATGTTGTTTGTTGAATAAATGAGCCTAAGCCAGTATTGTGAAGAAACGATACAGCTGTTCACAAGTCTCGCAATCCGAAGCATTGTCTGAACGTAAGTTTACTTATTATCTCGTAAGCTTCTCTTACACTTTACAGGAGTAGACATATTATATAGTTTCGGTAAATAAGTCTAAATGAAATAAATATAACAGCTAATAAAATATGGTAAGAAGATCATGGCTCAAGTAACCTGATGTAGTCTATAAAGTAGGGTTAGATACCTGTTGTAACTTAACTAAACATACTGTCTATCTAACCAACTGCTTGACGTCGCCTGACATAAAGTGCACAATGGACTGAATGTAGGCAGGGGTGTGTTCATGATGCTACACGCAGATTCTGGCTTCCTTTAGTTCATAGGTGCTTCTCGGTTTTCTCTCTTGCACTTTTTACCCAATATTTTCAAGCAGTTTTCGATAGGGTTGAGATCTGGGCTGTTGCCTGACCAGTATAGTATTCTGATCCTTTTCCTTCGAAGATAGTCCTTCATCTGAAGCAACGAGATCAAACCTAAGGTGTATTCTCAATACACGTAGAGTACCAACCCTTTTAATCCTGTGGCATGGAGCAGGGTCATCCTGAAATGTACATTGGTCAGTTCCACCAAAATGATACCGAAATGTTGGCTTTAATCGGAACTTGAGGATTTCCATGTACTTGTCGACATTGGCAGTGGCTTTCACAAAATACAGGCGTCCCATACCCTAGCCAGAGATGAATTCCCATATATCTGACAGTAATACATCATCCATGAAACACATTTGCACCTACATACATCAGGGCCTCAAAACAGACGATGATTCCAAAGAAAATACTTTTTACACTTGGTTTGCTCTCACCAACAGCTTGTAATACAGCCCTGAAATACACGTCACGGTGTTTGTTGTAAGAAACTGTGTTCAGCTAACCCAATATAAACTGTATACGGTTGTTCAATAAAATAGGGTTAGATACCTGTTTTAACTTAATTAAACATTGTCTATTTCACCCACTGTAGAGTAACTTTATATAGTCTAGTATAGTAACCTGATGTAGTCTATAAAGTAGGGTTAGATACCTGTTGTAACTTAATTAAACATTGTCTATTTAACCCACTATAGAGTAACTTTATATAGTCTAGACTGTAG